TCAAGATACGGACTTTCATGAGGGTTTTAGTACACGATACATTTTTTTTTTGAGTTATATTCGTAGATAAGATACAGCGATACCTTAGACAGAGCAACAGGGAATTTAATTATGACCTTGTTTGACATCTGTAGTGTAGTGCCGTGTAGTGGCGGTTAAGAATATCCACTACCCCATATCTTCCCGTGGGTGTCGTAAAAGGCGACAAAGGGAAACAGGCAGGAGATGGGCAGCAGCATCTTCCTGGTAACGACAAAATACAATAAAAAACTGCGGTTGCCAACCCGCTCGCCAAGCGTGGCAACTATGGCAATATACCCCCCATAATGAAAGTTACGAAGAGACGGCCCCCAGTCCCCGGCGGCCCCGCTATTCCTGGCTACGGTGGCGACCATGGTAACGGCGGGGCAGGGGGTGCTAAGAATCTCCGGTGGAGGTTCGGTTGCCACCTACAACGACTCGACCTGGCAACATACAACGCACGCACCCTGAGGACTGACGAGAAGATTGTGGAGCTGGAAGAAGAGATAGACAAGTTACGCTGGCATATTATAGGATTATCCGAAGTCCGAAGAGAGGGGGAGGACACGGTAATCCTCGAATCCGGCAACTTGCTCTATCACCGGGAGGGCGACCATCTGTCCCAAGGAGGTGTCGGATTTATCGTCCACAAGTCTCTCGTTAACAACGTTGTAAAGATTGAGAGTGTGTCGACGAGGGTTGCGTACCTTATACTCAGAATCACCAAACGGTATTCGCTGAAGGTCATACAGGTTTACGCACCAACCTCGGCACACCCCGATCAGGAGGTGGAGGAAATGTATGAGGATATCTCTAGAGCCATGCATTCCTCCAAAACCCAATATACGGTGTTAATGGGAGACTTCAATGCAAAACTAGGCACAAGAGAGAACGGTGACCTGAAAGTGGGGAAATTTGGAATAGGGCAACGGAACCCAAGGGGCCAGCAGTTGGCCGACTTCATGGAGAAAGAGGGACTCTTTATGATGAACTCTTTCTTCCAGAAGCGGCCCCACAGGAAGTGGACCTGGTCGAGCCCCGACGGTTCGACAAAAAATGAGATTGACTTCATTATGACGACCAGACGACAACTGTTCAGTGATGTCTCAGTGATCGCGAGGGTGAAAACCGGCAGCGATCACCGAATGGTTAGAGGCACACTGAACCTAAACGTTAAGTTGGAGAGGTCTCGTCTAATGAAGTCAACGCTCCGTCCCCCTCGTGCTCTAATCCAAAGTCCCGAAACCTTTCAGCTCGAGTTGCAAAACCGTTTTCAGTGCCTAGAAGACTGCAATGAAGTGGACGATTTGAATGACAAGCTCGTGGAAACTGTCCATGCGGTCGGAGCTAAGTTCTGCAAGACCCGCCGCAGAAGAACACAAAAACTCTCCGATCACACTCTTAATCTCATGGCTGTTAGACGGGAAATGAAGCTACATTCTTCAACAGATTTGACAGCATACAGGCAACTGAACAGACAGATCTCCAAATGCATGCGGCGGGACTTACGCAACTTCAATACAGCTCGTATTGAAGAAGCGATCGAGCGGAACCAAGGCTCCAAAGTCTTTGCCAGAGATCTGTCTGCCAGAAAGAGCCAACTGTCAAAGCTGAAGACCGAATGTGGCAGCATCGTTTCCGGGGCACCTGAGATTTTGAGTGAGATTGAGAGGTTCTATGGGCAGCTGTACACGTCATCGTTGGAGCCACACGCAAGTGTGAGTAACGATCCAAGAGCGAGTCTTATCCGACATTATTCCGATGATATCCCGGACGTCAGTCTGAGCGAGATTAGAATGGCTCTCCAGCACCTTAAAAACGGCAAGCGGGTGGAAAACCGGTACTTGAAGTCCTTCAGAAGCTCTTTAATTCCGTCCTCCATGGTGGCATTACACCGGAGGCGTGGAGCAGAAGTGCGGTGGTCTTGTTCTTCAAGAAAGGCGACAACGCTCTCTTGAAGAACTACAGACCGATTTCTGCTGTGCTGTTTTCGAGAGTCATTACGAATCGTCTCGCGCGCAGACTTGACGACTACCAGCCTCCCGAACAAGCCGGTTTCCGAAAAGGCTTTAGCACCATAGACCACATACATACCCTTCGGCAAATTGTACAGAAGTCCGAGGAGTACAATTTGCCACTATGTCTGGCGTATGTGGACTATGAGAAAGCCTTTGATTCCGTCGAAATTTGGGCGGTGCTGCAGTCCCTTCAGCGATGCCAAGTTGACTGTCGGTATATCGAAGTGTTGAAGTGCTTGTACAGTAGGGCTACGATGGTTATCCGAGTACAGAACCAGAGTACGAAACCTATCCATTTGCAGAGAGGTGTAAGACAGGGTGACGTCATATCCCCGAAACTCTTCACCGCTGCATTGGAAGATGTTTTCAAGCTTCTGGACTGGAAAGGATACGGTATCAACATCAATGGCGAGTACATCACTCACCTTCGATTTGCCGACGATATAGTCCTTATGGCAGAATCGCTGGAGGACCTAAGCACTATGCTCAATGACCTCAATAGTGTTTCCCAACGGATAGGTCTTAAGATGAACATGGACAAAACAAAGATCATGTTTAATGTCCATGTCACACCTATGCCGGTAGTTGTTGGGAACACTAAGCTCGAAGTTGTTGACGAGTATGTTTACCTGGGACAAATAGTCCGACTAGGTAAGTCCAACTTCGACCGAGAGGTCAATCGACGGATTCAACTCGGTTGGGCAGCGTTCGGAAAATTACGGCACATCTTCTCGTCAGGTATACCTCAAAACTTGAAAACTGACTTTACACCCAGTGCGTGTTGCCAGTGATGACATACGGAACTGAGACGTGGTCCTTCACTGCTGGCCGGATGAGGAAGCTCAAGGTCGCTCAGCGAGCTATGGAGAGGGCTATGCTCGGAGTTTCTCTGCGTGATAAACTCAGAAATGAGGATATCCGCAGTAGAACCAGAGTGACCGACATAGCCCAACGGATTAGTAAGCTGAAGTGGCAATGGGCCGGCCATATAGCTCGAAGAACCGACAACCGATGGGGAAGAAAGGTTCTCGAGTGGCAGCCTCGTACCGGCAGGCGAAGTGTAGGGCGTCCCCCCACTAGATGGAGTGACGACCTGGTAAGATTTGCAGGAAGTCGATGGATGCAGGTGGCTCAGGACCGTGCTTTGTGGCATTCTTTGGGGGAGGCCTATGTTCAGCAGTGGACTTGTGAAGGGCTGTAATGATGATGATGATGACATCTGTATCATTTACACATCGATATATAGGTATGTACTACGTACTAGATTTCGCATTCCGAATATACACTAAGTTCAACTGAACTGTACTGAAATCCGTACGGTGTGTCATTTAGTGTCGTTTCAATCTATTAGTTAATCTGCGATTTCAATACTCATGCAGTGTGGAGCGGCGCTAATAATATAAGATTTCAAATTATGTGTAGTGTAAATTAAGCGCGTTAAATCAACGCTTCCAAGGAACATAGGTACTACTCTTGTGCGCGACTCTACTATCTCCCGCGCATGCGCGAAGACATAGCATAGTGCACATTTTTTTGTTTAGAATGACTTCTCTAGTACGTAGTACATATAACTCAATGCATTTCCATGATAGTTAGTTATCATTTACACTTTTTAATTATAGTCGGAGAGCTGGCTACGAAAACGTGAACTGATAATGTGTAGTAACGAATTATATATATAACCTCTCCTTGGTAGCATAAAAGTTCAGAGCGAGGCCCGTCAGAACTCTCTCCCGGGGCGGAAGGCGTGGGTGGGCGGTCAAAGTCGTAAATTCTCAATAAGAAAAAAATGATTAGGTGCAGTTCTGAAATTTGGTAAAGTTATAGTTTTTAACTGTAGGGATCTAGGAAAATTATTGTCAGAAGTCTAGGTCGAGGCTTAAAGACTGTCAGAAGTCGAAAAAGTTGTAAAGAAATTGTTTAAATTTAAACCACAAGGTGCAGTTCTGACAAATGCATTTTTATATTATTTGTTGCTTATCGAACCTGTATATAAATTATCAGAAGGCTAAATAATGGCTAAGTACAGAAAAAATTATGATATGGCCAGAAGTTGTTGAAGCGGCTATCGCGATGAAAAGGAACGTTTCGAATCTAGTTTATCCATTATCCATTATGTATAATATACAGAAACCACCTTATCTTTGTATGTAAATGTAGTATATGTAAGTAGTAAGATATAATTGCTTTAACTCTATGTTTTAGCCATTAATACTATAATAAATTTAAACAAATTTATCATCAACTTAAGTAGCATTAACATCATCAATCCAGCCTGTCAGGAATCCGTACAAGGCCCTTCATGGTGCACAGTCATTAGCCTTTGCCGTCAACACCACTATATTCGTTTTGTTTCATGTTAGAAGTAGGTATGGTACGGTGCAGTATTTTTGCGACTATTCTCGATTATATTAGGTCATTTTTTATCATATATGTATATAATAAAAGGAACAAGTATTTTATAAGTGACCTGAATCATTCCTTAAATACATTCATTTTATTGCCCATTCGTTGTAAACAAAGTTGTTGCTAATATACAGTCGACCTAAAAACTTCAAGAAGTATTAAAACACAGAAGTATATTTAGCTTCGCGTTGATGGGATAAATGTCCTGACACAGCATCTATCAAAAGTTTTAATGTACGGAACTTTTGGAACGCTTTTTAATTCGTTTTGGCGCCAAATCCAACCAAGGCGCGAAAATAGCATCAGGTCTGTGGCTAAATTTAATATATTATGATATGATTTAGCTCATTGAAATCACGTCATAGATCGAATAAACCGGGGAAGCACTACTCACAATAAACGAACATGGTGAATGTAGAGTTAGTCCGCAGATAATTCTATGGTCCGCAGATTTGACAATGCATATGATATGTGGACCACAGCAACAATATCCACCGACCATCAGTTTGACTTTGTGTTCTTTAGTCGCCTTTACTTCTATAAAAAATGACTTACCGTTGCATTACCGACACTTGGTGTCGGTTCGCACTCCAGTTCAGCGGGAGCACTGTAGTTGGTAGTATCATGCAGTTCCACTTTGTCAGCTTGGGCCGCCAGTCGTATGGATGTATGGTTCAGCATGCCTACCATGGCTACAGACAGGTTCACCTTTAACCCATATACTATAGCCATGCCGATGGAGCCCAGGACTGCGAGGATGTATCGCGCTGGCACCACGCCTAAAAAAGAAATCCTGGTGAAAGTTGTATGATAATGCCGGCACGATTGTTTTTGATATGGCGGCAAGTAGATATCAAATAATCAAAAAATATACTACAGGTCCGGTGGTAAATTCTATGATCCTATGATCCTATATATCTCTATGATGTCCACTTAATTTAATTTGCACTAAAAGGGTGAAGAAAGCATCATTACCTAAAATAATAATGCTTTTTGAAGTGAGAACTTCTTGGGGCACGTTGTGCACTTTTGGGATGGGGAAAAGCACTGAACTCGCGTCATCGTCACGCTCCAGATACATAAAATTGATGAAAGTAGTGTTGAAAATCCATTTTTTTTTTATAGGACAAGGGTGACAAACGAGCACACAGTCCACCTGATGGTAAGCGATTGCTGTGACCCATAGACATCTACATCTATCCTCGTTTGCGAATCAAAATGCAGATGCGTTGTCACCCGTGAGGACTAAGAAGGAATACCTCTTTTCCAGTAAAAAGGTTCTCCGGTTCTCAACACTCACCATACGAAACACCGCAGCGTTAAGCTGCTATTTTACGTTGGTATTCTGTGAGAGCGTGGTCCTTCCCCGGTCGAGCCGTCCCATTCGTGTTACAACTATACCAGAAATATAGCTGCAGCATGGCTCTACCACGTATAAAAATACTAGTAATGCTATTCAGGGCTCGGATAACGGTATATTTTTCGATTTTTTTTGCCTTAAATACCTAAAAACTTATTTGTTTCATTTATGTTCGAACGGAATCATAATAAAAACGTTTATGAGGAGAACGAAATTTTAAATCGTTCTTGTTCAATAAAACGTTTTTAACCATTTTAAACCGTTTTTTCACATATTTGGTCCTGCAATACGAAACAAAAATACCTTATAGGTTAAAACTTGTCGTGGCACGTGCCATTCATTTAGCTTCCTCTGCGGAATAAACAGTTTTTTACATTTTCACATTACGTTCTCATTTCGTTTTTGTTCCGAACAAAATGTTATAAAAGAAACCGTCCCAAACGTTTTGAAAACGTTATTTTTAATAACGTTTCCGAGCCCTGATGCTATTAATAAACATTACTAATATTCCCTTTAACCACTTCTGGTAAGCTTAAAACGCTTTTCTTAGAAGTGGTTCACGACAGTAGTCGAATGGCGGATTCAAACCCACGACCTTTCGAGTTCACGGTCCGCACCCTGCCATTAAGCTACTGACGCTTCAAATGATAAAATTGACATATTATGTATTTATAAATTTGTTTGTATTAGATAGATAATAATCATTCTTTTTCATATAAAACAGCGCAATAAATGAAAATTTTATTACTATATTAATACCTACGTTGATAATAATATTTTTTTCCTAAAAAATTCTCCCAGAAAGATATATTTAACAACACAAATATAATGTTTACAAGTTTGTGAAGCTAAGAAGTTTTCACTTCTGACGTGCCGTCATACGACTGACAGTTTTTTTTTTTGGGGCCAACTGAATATATCAGTTTTCCGTATCCCTTTGTTAGACTAGCAGTTTAGTTGTTCTGAAATACATTTTACTTCACAAAAGGCTAATATCAAAATGTTTTTACCCTTCGCCGTAATAAGCTATAATTTTCAACCGACTTCAAAAAAGGTTCCAAATTCAACTGTTTTTTTATGTGTTACCTACCTCAGAACTTTTTCTAGGGGAAACGATTTTCATGATTCTTTTATTTATTTGAAAGCTGGTACTTGTCATGTGGTTCCATATAAATTTGATCAAGATCTGACCAGTAGTTTTTGAGTTATCCTTAACCCTAGAACCCTACATGGGGTTCAAGGGCTCTGGCACCCCTGGGAGGTTTGTTTCTTAAATATTTTTTCTTAAGCTATACCTACATATTTGAGCTTTCGTGTATTTTAGTTTAGTATCGTCTACTACTAAATAGTCGGACTATCGTGGACAGCCGCGCTATGTGGAGGTGGCAACAAATGACGTGGGGTACGTCAGCACCCCAGTGTAGGAATACCATATTACAAAAATATTGTATCGTTTATAATAAAGTTTCTCTGACAGACCAACGGCTTCTGACAAAAAAAAATATTTCTTTCCTTTTTCGTTATCTATACGCTTCTATACCATTCTATCCGATTAAGATGAAAAGTTTTGTTAGAAGTAACGCCTGCTAGGCACACCTAGTCTAGTGTGTTTTTTTTAATATAAAATTAGGTGTTCCCCGCGACTTCGCTCTCGTGTTAGAGTTTTTATGTTTTTGCGCGGAACCCTAATTATTTTTTAAAAATAAAAGTAGCCTAAGTTACTCCTTATGAAATCAGCTACCTGCCAATGAAAGTCCCGTCAAAATCGGTCCAGCCTTTTTGGAGATTAGGCGGACAAAAGACAGACAAAAATTTAAAAAATTGTATTTTAGTTATATGTACCGTATTTGTTTTCATACCTATGCATTTAGTAAAAAACTGTAATTTTGTACATTACAAACAGACCCTTCAATTTTATTTATTTGTATAGATTTGTATCGATTGAAGTGTAAAACGAACTTATAGTACCTACACCTTGACTGAACACTTACAGGTGTTCTACGATCCATAACTTCCTATCTACCGTCTATTTACGTACGACCTTGAGAGTCGATCAATTTTTGTTCAATAAAATATATTTACCTATAGAATGAAATAGAGGGCGCTATTACAAAGTAATTTTACTTAAAAGAAAATATTCTATTGATTTATTACGCTAAAATTTAGGCTCTATGATTAGTAATTAATAGTAACATTATTAGTAACATTTGTTTGCTATAAAATTAAACTTATATCTTTTATATTTTATGCCGCACTTGTGGTTGAAAATTATCTTATTATACTTAAATAAAATAAATAATTTGCCGTGAAACATTTTTATTTTATATTTCATTTAATTTGAAGGTTTCAACTCTACTGCGTGTGAACTACGCACATGTTTTTTTTTTAACTAATTGTGCATTTTAATAGAATTTTTATAAGTATGTAAGTAGGTATGAACTAAATCTCTATATATAAAAATCAATTGCTGTCTGTTAGTCTCGCTAAAACTCGAAAACGGCTCGAACGATTTTGATGAAATTTGTTGCGTGTATTTCAGTGGATCCATGGATGGTTTAGATTCACAATTGGATCTGGCAGGTGGCGCTGTTGTGGTCGAGATTCAGAAATCACCCATGCGAAGTCGAGACCGCTCGCTAGGTTAATATAAATTTGTAGCGACGATCGCGTAGGGCTGCGTCTTGCTAGTCAGCGTGATGGGTCCTAGGTGCTGAGTGATGGGTCCTCGTTTTTTAGTTCGAAACCCATGTGCTATTAAGCTCAAAAGAAACAATTTAAAGATAAGGCTTCTGTGTTTGCACGTAGGTACTCGTAAACCAACGTACAATAACACAGTTGTCTATAATCGATGAAATATTAAGAAATGTTGTTCTCTCTAGTTTCATGCATAAATGGCAAGAAAAATACACAGGTGGGAAGATTATTAATACACGAGCAGTCCGCCCCGGCTTCACACGGGTGATTTCTGACAACAGCGTCACCTATCGAGTCCAATTGTGAATCTAAACCACCTAGGGACCCATTCAAATACACACAAAAATTTCATCAAAAACAGTTGAGCCGTTTGAGTTTTATCGAAACTAACAGACAGCAGTAGATTTTTATATATATACTAGCTGAGGAGGCAGACGTTGTATTTATATTTTTTTTATATAGATAGGGTGACAAACGAGCACACAGTCCACCTGATGGTAAGTGGTTGCTGTGGCCCATAGACATCTACATTTATCCTCGTTTGCGAATCAAAATGCAGATGCGTTGTCACCCGTGAGGACTAAGATAGAATGCCTCTTTTCCAGTAAAAAGGGTCTCCGGTTCTCTACACTCCCCATACGAAACACAGCAGCAAGCTGCTATTTGACGCTGGTATTCTGTGAGAGCGTGGTCCTTCCCCGGTCGAGCCGACCCATTCGTGCTACAACTATACTACTAATATAGCTGCAGCATGGCTCTACCACGTAAAAAGCGTTGTTCTGACCTTTCCTGAGATGACCCTTTCTCCAATAAAAAATATCCTTTAATTCGTAATAAAAAATATTGAGGGTCACTTATAGGGATAAAAACTATCCTATCTCTCAAGTTGGACCAAACTGCACACAGTGTGCAAAATTTCATTGCAATCAGTTTAGTAGTTCATCGCTGACAAACAATGTGACATTATATATATATATATATATATATATATATATATATATATATATATATATATATATATATATAAATTATCGCTTACTTATATATATAAGTAAGCGATAATTAACGAAGGCCGCTAATGTATATTAATATTATACACGAACAAAATAATTAAACATTTTTGACTACCTAGGTACACAATGTCATAGAAATGAGAAGTTGCCTAGTTTTAAATAAAAGCACTATTATTTATTCTGTGATAAAAGTTTATCAGTTTCTAGATCAGTTTTTATTATATCTGCTAGCACTTCTTAATAGTTTGTGATTATATCAATACACAAAACAATGCCTCAGTGGTTTGTTCTTTAATTTTTTGCACACTTTTAACTCTTTTTTTATTATTTTTTTTACTTTTATGAATATCAGTGGTTTGGTTTATTTATTTTTTTTTACTAATTAATAGATATAAAATATCACAATACTTAGTACAGGAAAAACATTAACCTTTACATTTTTTGAACAAATTAACTTCCTCGCTATGAAAACTGTCTGATGTAACTAGAATAAATTTTTAAAGTTGAAATTGGCACTAAAAGACTGGTATCCACCCTAATGAGCCTTTCGGGTTTAGTTATACGGTTTAATATTACAATGGTTATAGTTTAAACCGTGCTAGATAATTCCTAAATAAACATTAATACATCCTGTGACTTTCCTCCCGTTTTGAAGGTCGTTGGACCACAAGTTTTGTTACGCAACATAACGCAAAGAGTGATAGCACAGCCA